AAGGTTTTGTAAGTTACAGGGTTTCTATCACAGACTTGGTTTTGTTATTAGTACAAACACAGCCAGTCAATATATAAATAAGTGAATTGGGCTTTCTTCTCTGTAATTTCATTTATAAATCATATGGTGATTGGATTTGGCTCTGAGTTGGTTTGCCAACTCCTGCTTTAAATCCTTGAAGGTATTTATATTCTCTGTTTTATGTCCTTGTCTACTAATTCTGTTCTCTCTGCATTTCTTAACCAGTATCTTCTGGATATGAGTTATAATTTCTGCCTTTTCATATGTTCACTAATTTTTTTATTGAATGCTGGACATGTTGATTATACAGATTTTTGTTGTCTTCATTTATAAAATTCTGATTTATTTTTTTATTGGTGAGTAGTTGTTGCCTGCTGATAATGCTTGATCTGTTTAAGGCTTATTTTAAGCCCTTGAAAGCCATTCTAAAGTAGATTTCACTCCAGGACTAGTTTATGTCTACTACACCAAGCATGACCTTTCTGGGGTTCTGGGAATGAGACTCTCCACTCTAGCTAATTGACCGCACGTTTCCCTGTGTCGTAAGCTCTGGAGTTACTCAGTTCATACATCCACACTAGGTTTCCTTTGCCTGGCTTCATGGAGTCTTACTTCAGCATGCAGGATCCGTTCTCTATGCTCTAATGTTGATTTCTGGGTTTGTTTGGTTTTGAGACAGGGTTTCGCTAAATAGCTCAGACTGTTCTCCAACTGGTAATCCTCCTGCTTCAGTTTCCCAAATGCTGGGTTTATGGGTGTGTGCTGCCAGGACCTGCCTTCCTAATTGTTGATTTTGTTATTTTTCTGTGTAGTTCCCGTCATTAGGGTTCTACTCCACTGATTCCAGCTACTTGTCCCTGTCTGTATTTAGGTTTACTCAACTCAACAGGACCATCATGCTTTGCTTGGCTACTTTTTTCTTGGAGCATGGACTTTTTTTTTTCTCTCCTGTCTCTGCTGTCAAAAAGCTAGACTATGGGCCTGGCCTGGTGGCACAATGCCTTTATTAATCTCAGCACTTGGGAGGCAGAGGCAGGTGAATCTCTGTGAGTTTGAGGCCAGCTGAGGATATAGGGAGACACTGTCTCAAAAAGACCAAAGGGGGTTAAAAAAAAAAAAAAAAGCTGGACTAATGATACGTTCCTTCATTTATATCCCATCTCTAACAAGAAGCCTCATACTGTCTGATGTATATGTCTGAAAAGCATTATTCCATATGTTTTATTTACCCTTCTAGTTGACTGAAAGAATGAAAGGCATACTTCATAATGCTCTTGAGGCCAAACCCCTCAACCTTAACTTCCATGAGCTTTAGAGCCTACTGTACAGTACATACATTAATTTGATATTTTATACTGGTTGTATCCAATTAACCCCCCTTTTTTATGCTATAGCTAT